TGAGAGTCTTGCAGAGGAGCTACGTGCCTGGCACAAAGGAGCCCTCCATCGCTTCGTCTCCTTTCTCACCACTCGCTCTCGGTTTTACTTGGTGAATCAGTTCTGCCGACTGCTCTGCCCCTGAAGTTTTCGAATCTGTACATTTAATTACCCATCCCTATCACCACACAGATACCGTGTGGAGGAAAGCATCCCAATGCATGTCACTGAAGCATGTACATTGAATAAGAATATTAAGCTCCTTATAATGGAATGAAGGGGAGAGAGAAAGGGTGCGGCTGGAACCAGAATAGCTGAGATTTCTCAATAGACTATGCAAATCATCCACCTCGGAAAGAGCTAAGGGACTCGTTTAAAATGCTGATCTCTGTGTCCTGCCCCAGAACTATTGCATCGCAATCTCTCGTGGTAAATCTTACTCTCAGTAAACGTGGGAAGTCTCTGAGACTTAGGGGGTGAGAACGTATTTACTGTAATTAATAGCACAGCTGCCACCAGAATCGCCGTTGGCATTATTGACAGCTGCACCCACCCGGGCCTCACACTAGCGCTCCTCAGCGCGAGTCTCGGGGCGGGGGGGCCCAAGGTGAAATACTCCACAGAGGTTTGGATCTGCATCCAGGATTGGAAACCATTGAACCAAAAGTTATTAATGATCAACATTTATTGGGTAATTACAACTTCTCAGAGACTTTGTTAAGCAATCTATGTGCGTTATTTCATTTCATCCCTATAATCCTGAGTTAGTCTCTCCGTTTCCATGGGCTTGGGGAGTTAAGTAACTGGGGGATTGAAGTTTTCAATGGATTTTCACATCTCATTTTCCCCGCACAAGTCACAGTTCATCCTGAGTTGCCGTCTCTTTACAGATAAAATGCCGTAATCAAGTTCCATCAACAGGAGTGGTGTGAGAGTTAATGAGTAAATGGGCTGAAATTATCACAAGAGCCTGGAGTGAAAGGTGCCCTGTTTTTGCTGTGATTAATGGGAGGCAGCTCCTCCATGACAGTTCTGATGGAGAGCACAGACAGCAGCCCTGACCTCATTGACCGGCCGTGCCAGCGCGGGTCTGACCCTTCCCCAGAGACCGGCTCCAGGGAAACGCTCCAGCCCGGGTCCAGGGCAGCCAGGAAGCCAGCCTCGCTCAGGGCCCTGCATCTGGCTGCTTTAAGCTGATCAGAAATGCTGTGTGGCCGAAATTCAGAAGGGACACCAGTCAAGAAGCCTGGGAGAGGAATGAGTGACGGGCATGCCTGATAAAGGGAACAAAATCTAGTGAGATGAGAGGGCCACCCCCAACCAGACGTACGAGTAGGTAATTCACTACCTGGCGGCGTTAGCGTCCTTACGCAGACTCGGCCAGGGGACGAGCATTCCTAAATACTCGGGAAAAGCCTACTTAACTCGCTGCAGAACAACCTGAGAGAGCCATTTAGGAAAGGCAGGGACGCAGTTAAGTCAAGCCCCTGCCCACATATTCATGAGGTGATTATCAATGTCTGTAAGTTGTGTTAGACACCACCTTCCACTTCCTGTAATTTAGACTTTTCACTCCATCAGGTGATCTTTGAAAATGATTGGATGTTTCTTTTCTTTCTTACGATTCAGAGAGCAAAGGTTTTCAGTCAATGTTAATTTTCTTTGAAGGATCTTAAGGGTTGTATTTCTACAGACAGAGCCCTAAAATTATTTTCAAGTTAGACTTATTCTTTTTCTCCGTAGCCTAGAAGACAAGAAATCTATGTAACCGCAGTGCCAAAATGTCAAAAGACTGAGATAGGTTGAAAAAAAAAAAAAGAAAAAGCACCAAAAAAATCCCTAACGCCACCCATGCCGTCCGAAGCCTAACAAATCCGTGGCTCACATAAATACTTGTGACATGCTGTAATTAACTAGTTACTCCTCTCAGAATGAATAATAATGCAATTACTTGCCAAAGGCAGTGAAGAAGGGATAGTTTCTGTTTTTAAAAATGTCTGCCTTTCATTTCTGTAGGAAAAGAAAAAAAACACACAAACCCTGGATTAATTTGCATAATTATGAAAAATATGCAAATTAATCCAGGGTGACCTGCAATCTCACCATCACACTATATGATAATTCTGTCACTTTTTTATCAGAGCCTTATATTTTTTAGTGGTTTGAGTTAGCAATAAACTAAGTCACTGCCATGTTTAAATTATATTGGTTCCCCAAATCTGCACCACAAAATAAAAATAATAGCCCGGCAAACCCATCCTTTCACAATGGGAGTTCAATGCCGTTGAGCCACTGAGGGCCAGTGCTGCTTCCTTTGTGCGGCCACAAACCCAAGCAGGAAGGGCCGTAGCTCTCCCAGGCCGCCCTCTTCTTCCTTCGGGAGTCCGCAGGCCAAGTAGCGCCAAGTAAGGGAGAGGTTATGTGAATGTGTGACTGGTTCTCTCTCTGGTGTGTTCATGTCTAGAACAAGGACCGTTTCTTTAACTCCACCAGCCCACCCTGCCATTCTGAACTAGGTAATTAAGTCGACAAGCATTTATTGAAAACTCGCTCCAACGTGCTGTGCTAGGTACCAGGAAATCGACATGAAAAAGACATACTGTCCGTGAGAAGGTTGTAGAAAAGTCAAGATATAAAACTAGCAAATAGAACCATTAACAATGCAGTGAATACCACCACGGAGCCCATTTACACACACACGTACACCCATACACACACACACACACACACACACACTCCTTCACTCATACAAACACACAAAACCCCTCTGCTCCGTGAACATGAATTTCTACAAATTCCAGACTCTTTACAAGTTCCTGATCCCATTTCAAGCAATGTTGTGATCCCATTGCTGTGGTCACACGGCACCATCACAGCTAAAGTAGGAAGCCACTCCTGAATGACTACAGCATTTAGAGATGGTTACCTCCATCCTAGCTCGCTGTCCCTAAACAGGTGAAAGTAAAAATAGCCAAGTGTTCCTAAAGCAGTTCTCTTACCCCCAAAAGTGAAGTGCGTTCGCACCTTTCTGCTGGCCTCTATGGCAGAGAGCTAGACCATTCCGATACGATGGTCTGAGGACGGTACTCTGAGAAACACTGGTGTGCGGACAGCCCTCTCCAACAAACAGATCAGATCCAGCACCGGCTCCCAGGAGGTGAGACCCCTGCCAGGGCAACCGCCTGAGAATGCAGAATTCTAGGCTCCACCCCTGAAGCGTGCCTATTAATCAGTATATTTTAAAGTTTTCTGGAAAATCCTAACACACACTCCATGGCAAGAGGAAAGGGCCGGGTTTTACTTTAACACATCCGTAGAAGGTCCTCATTCCACAGTTTACTAGCTCTCTGACCTTATATAATGTCATTGGTCTGTAAAAGGCTGTTGTGCTGATGAAATAATGCCAGGCATGCAAAGAGCCAGCAGGTAGTGAGCTGTGTGCTTTAATCAGTATAGTCGGCGCCCAGCTCTAAGGAAGATATACAGAAGTAAAATGTGTGCTTCACCACTTTGAGAAGCACATAATCTATTTAGAAATATAATATGACTATTAATAGAAATTTTAAAGATGAATTCATATTCTAAGAGAGTAAGTATTTGAAGGCCAAAAACAACACAATATTCTGAATAACAAAGTACATTGTAAAATACAGAGAATTATAAGAACAGAAAAAAAAATCATTAAAGTTTTGCTTTAAAAAAATTCTTCTAATTTCTCATTCATTCACTACATTTTTATTTATATTAAGAAACATACTAAAATCATGAGTGATCATCAACTTACTATTTAAAACTGAACTAGAAAAAGAGTTGGGTATCTGGGGAAGGGGCCAAGAGGCAGGCCTCAAGGGGCTCACTGAACCCCTAACATGTTACGCAGAGTTGTTTGTGGGTATTTCTGGGGAGAGAGCCACACCTTTCATTTGATTCTCAAGGTTTGGTGGCCCCCGAAATGTTAAGGATCACTGAGGGCTCCGGGTTAGCACATTTGACGCGCATCGCATGATGCCGAGGAAATGGACTTCTGATTGCATTCCATCGTCTCCCTGTTTGCTTCCAGTTAAATATCACCTGCACCCTCCCCCTCGGGCTCTCCCCATCCAGCACCCCGAGGAAGGACCAGCACAGGGAGGTTCGCTGAAGGAGACGCACAGCAGAGGGGCAGGGCTGCAGCCTCTGCAGCTTCTGTGGGCTCAGCGTCAAGGTCATGTGCAGGCTTTCCAAGTCCCGGTGGCCGGGACCCACTGACGGTTCCTTTCTGAGTTTTCCCTGTGTATCTGTCATCCACGGCTCGGTCGTCTGAAACAGTTGTGATTAGTTCTCTTTTTTGTATCAGGTAGAAATGTGAGGAACTTCCCTGGAAGAAAACACTTCAGTTTTGCCAACTTGCTGGTGGCCAACCTCGCGGTTCTTCCACGTGCTGTTTTGCTCATCACGTGGTAATGTCCCCACTGACGTGACGTGTTTTGATCTCTCTCCCTTTAGGTGTGTGTGCAACATTGACTGTTCTCAGACCAACTTCAACCCCCTCTGCGCCTCCGACGGGAAGTCCTACGATAACGCCTGTCAGATCAAGGAGGCGTCGTGTCAGAAGCAGGAGAAAATCGAAGTCCTGTCGCTGGGTCGATGTCAAGGTAATGTTCATACTAAAATTCATTCCAAGGGCCCTGGCTGGTTTGGCTCAGTGGATAGAGCGTCGGCCTGCGGGCTGGGTCCCAGGTTCGATTCCCAGTCAAGGGCACATGCCCCATATGGGCTCCATCCCCAGTAGGGGACATGCAGGAGGCAGCCAATCAATGATTCTCTCTCATCATTGATGTTTCAATCTCTCTCTCCCTCTCCCTTCCTCTCTGAAATCAATAAAAATATTTCATTTCAAAGGATGTTTTAGTCTTTGTATAGAAATGAAAGTGAAGAAAACTTCTTATTAGGCAGTTGTTTCATTCCAAAAGGCAGTTCTGATGTATAATGGCTAGTAGAGTCTACTGTGGTATTTGTGTTAGTTATAAGTTTAAGGGCCTATGGACCGCGGCCCATATCTTTTTCTGTATAACGGGACTGTACCTTCACAATGCCAGAAACACAGAAACACAAGAGCCAATTTTCAGAAGATAACAGACATTCTCCCTGCGGAGGACAAAAAGAAAGTCAAAATCATTTTAGCAAAGAATCTTTGAAATTAAAAGTAAATCACACCACTGTTATATATTGATTCAATAGAAGTATTTCAAGTACATTTTTAAGGCAGAATGTTCTATTCTGTTTCTTGTTCAGAAATATTTTGTTGATTTTTGACTTGTTATTTTTTTTACCCAACTTATCTTAGTTATATTGATAACCTTCTCCTTGCCCTAAAATTTAGAAAACTGGTATCATTCTATTATTCTCCCTCAAACTGAAATTGACATTGTCAATCTGTCTTTGTATAATGGTTGCTTAGAAGTGTAGTTGTAAAAATACCTTAATTGCAATGAAAATGCTATTGGGGGGTAATATAAAGTTGACGTTAGATGTTAAGAAATAGTTAACCAATCTTTACTGTTAATTTTTTAACACAGACAACACAACTACAACTACTAAATCTGAAGATGGACATTATGCAAGAACAGATTACGCAGGTACGTAACATTTTCTACTACAAGACATGAGGACGTCTATAGAATAGTCCTAAGGATTCATTGTTTAGCATTGGTCCTGAGTTTCATGGTGCGATGCTTCTGACACTTCGTTCAGTCTTTCACTAGGCAAGAGTGAATTTTTTGAAGTAAATAAGACCCTTTTTTTTTTTTGCCAGAGTTAAAGCAATTGTCAAAAATGTCAGTAAGATATAATTAACTTGTTTTGACAGTGCAAATGGTACAAATGACAAAACATTTATCAAATTAATGGGTATCCGTGGAAATTAATGCCATTTTTGGCAGTATATTGTAATGAATGCAAATGTTCTAGTTTGAATTTTCATAAAAGTCAACAATAAAAATGTTTGCTAGGCTCTAAAAAAGCTGGAAATAAAGGACAGCTATAAATAGTATTGCAGGCTGTCTCTATTCAGACGGAAAGTTAAAAAGGTATGTATAATTTGTTTTTAAAAATAATAAATTTCTTTAATTTACTTAGAAACTTAAATTCATCTTCTGACACAATGCAAAATTGCAAAGCATTTTATGTAAAAATGTAAATTTTAGTTAGCAATTATAGGATATTATTTTAAGGAATATTTCTACCAAGTATAATTTTCCTAGGTTGTAAAATAATTTATAGATATAGGAATTAAACAGACCCTTGAATTTTATACAAAACTCAGGATGTATAATTTTCCTAGGTTGTAAAATAATTTATAGATATACAAATTGGAATTAAACAGACCCCTGAATTTTATACAAAACTCAGGATAAAAAAAAAATATAAATATGGAATCCTTGAAGTTGATTACAATATGGGGACTTTATAACACATTTTTTCACTTAGCTATTAAGAATTTGTAACTAGATTTATGACTAATATTCAATCAAAAAGAATTGCTTCTTTTTTATGATTTGCAAAAGCTTTATTATACCTTACGAGGCTATTATTAAGAACTGGTGAAAGAAAGCATTTTGTAATTTGCTTTGAAAGTAAAGTGGATTTTTATAATGTTTTTTATTTTTATTGTTGGCACTGTTACAGATGTCCCCGTACATTTCAAAATATGCACTACCACTCATTCTTTTTGGACTTGCATTTCCTTTAACAATGTTTCTGATGTTCCCACAGTGCCTAGGAGAGATATTAATAAGTGGTCCTTGAAAAGAATAGTTCATGGTCAGTACTTTGGGGAAGAGCACAGATAAACAAATGATTTTTTTTTTAACCCAGGATTCCTCACCACTCCTATGTGTACTATAAAAATTTTTAAGAGATATGCATCCTTTATTATTTGTTTATTTACTCATTTTTTTGTTATGGAGAATTTCTAATCAGCACAAAACACACACAAATGTAGGCTGGATAGTATGGTGAACCCACATGTACTCATCACTCAAACTCAGTAGCATCAACCCATGCATGGCTCACCTATCCTTATTCCCACCTTTATCATTTTTTCCACTTTCAAAATGTGTGGAAATGAAGGCCAGAAATGGCGTAATTTCATTCACAAACACTGGAACCTGCTTCTTTAAAAGATCAACCATTTTGTAAGCAATATTACAATGTCATCACACACAAAATATTTTTATACATCTTTATAATACATAACTTTTATCAAATCTATTTGATGAATAACACTTTTTTAAATAGTTTATTGAGTTTTAGAGAGAGAGGAAGGGAGATGGAGAGAGAAACACTGATGTGAGAGCACATCTATAGGCTGTCTCCTGCACGCCCCCTACTGGGAATTGAGCCTGCAACCAGGGCTTATGCCCTGACCAGGAATCAAACCTTCTGATGCCCAACCAGCTGAGCCACACAGGCCAGGGCAATAACACATTCTTTGTGTGTGGCAAGTTTTGCGGTACTAGTGTTCCCAAGAATGCACTTTAGAATATGCTGATCTGCAGGAAAATATTCAAAGTAATAAAGGATAATAATAGAAAATTAAGTTCTGAGGCTAATAATACATATTTTATATTTTAAATGAAATCAAATTTAAATTCTATAGCTTTATTACTTACAATAACTATATCTTTACAGTGTTATAAGCCACCACCTGGCACATTTGATTTTACTGTAGCCTAAATTATTTCTAAATTTCATACGGATCTTATTGCCATTCCAGAGTAGCTTACCAACTGTGCTTAAAATACTTTAATACATGTTTTGAAAACTAATTCATATGAGGAGGAAATCTTCAAAAATTTAATGTTCTATGAATATTTCTCCATTGACCCATCTATCATTGGACTCAGAGGAAAATCAAACCTCTTCCTGAGAATTTTGTCCCTGAAACAAAGAACTCTTCATATTGATGACTGCCAATACACAAATAGATGTGTTTTGGGGGGGTTAAATTTTTATTCCAAAAAAATTCATATTTCAGTTTGGTTTCCAACTATCTCTGATCGTCAGTGTCAGTGCTTTTAATTGACATTATTTTTTATCTTATCACTTTATCGAATGTGAAAAGGAAAGAGAATTTATCTTTAAATACCGGCAAATGAAAACTACTCAGTGTCCTTCAAAGTCTTCTGGTTTGACATCAGATTTGCTTACGGTTAAAATGAACTTTAAAAACACATATTTGTTGAAATCCAGGTTTAAGACAGGAATGGAGATAATGTCAGTTGAAGCTTGCAATTCCTAATTAAACATTGATTGCATGCCTAACAATTTTCCTTGAATGTAATTTAGATGCCTTTATCTTTCTTGGTGACCTTATTAAAATGCAACGTGCCCTAACCCTTTTTAGACATGACTTAAAACTAGCCATGTTCCTCAACATGTCCAGGCTTCCAAGAGTATTAGCATTTTCCTGAATTTTGGAACGCAAACGTTGGAAAAATTTGAAAGAACCACCTGGAGATTCTTTTTTTTCCCTTATGCTTCTACTTAAAATGTGCATGCTCACTCATCCCAGATAATTTTTACTGAAACCTAGAATAAGAGTAACATAAGGACTAAAATAAGTTGCCATGATTTTACAACCCACCGAGAAAAAAATTAAAAACAAGCAAACAACAACAACAACACTGGAGGTTGACTAATGGAGAAAGTGCTAAGGACAGAACAGCGTGTCCCCTTAATGTCTGTTTCACCGGCTCCTCTGGGGGGAGGGGGGGGGCGGAACAGGAAGCCTGTGACCTGTGACTCACATTCCTAGAGTCCGCTGTGCTCACAGCTCCTCCCATGCCAGTCTCTTCCCTTGTTAGACAAAACATTCAGGACTCTCCCACCAGAGGGAAGTACTGACCTTAACACTTCCTCATTGTGTCCTTACAGGTCAGGGATACCAGGGGTTAGAAACCTGGCCCTATTCCCCACACACAACCTTTTTCCTTCTGAGCCTGCCTTAAAGCTACCAACCCAGGAACACACATTTCTGATTACAAAAATGGGAATACACTTTAAAGAAAGCCTACATCTTAAAGATGCTCTTATTTTTAATATCATTGAAAAGAAAGACTCCGGTAGAGACCAGCAGGGGGTGATTTACAAAACAAGAACAGCAACAAAAATAAAAACAAAGTAAGGGAGCCTGGGCTCCAACAAGAACGCCCGCTGGGTTAGAGCTGTGGATTCCAAGATCCTCGCAAGTGCAGTTGACACCAGGAAAACAAAGCATTTCCCAGCACATCCCTGCCTGCAGGCATTGCTTCCTGGTTGTGTCTGACGTGGGTCTCTGTTCTGCCCTCTGCCCTTTAAAGAAACCCGAGGCCTGAGTGAGCCCTGAATGGGGAGCTTTGCATCAGTTGTTCCAGGCAGAGGGACAGGATCCCCATCCAATAAGCTAAACAGCCCACTGAATGGCATTCTCCCTGCATTGCTCTAAAATCTGGGCTTAGATTTAGGTCTTTCTCTTCACTTGCAGAAAGGTTTAAAGAATACAGTTTTTATTTATTTTATTTATTGTTCATCTTTATTGTTGAAAGTATTACATACGTCCTCCTTTTCCCCCATTAACCTCTCCCAGCCCGCTCCATTCCCCCCAGGCCCTCACCACCCCATTGTCTGTGTCCTTGGGTTTTGCATATATGCACACAAGTTCATTGGTTGATCTCTTCCCATCCACCCTCCCCTGCCTTCCCTCTGAGATTCCACAGTCTGAGATACAGGTTTTAAAAACCACAAAGCCAGGACTTGTGAGGATTTTCATTGTTAATATTAAACTTTCTTTCTGGAAGTTTTAAAATAGCAATTGTTTTACATCTCTTAAAACTTACAATTATATATATATATATCTATATATAAAATAAAAAACCAGTGACCATAACGCTGTAACGACCAAACGACCGGTCACCATGAAGTGCATGGAGCACGTCTTGGTCCCTCCCCCGTGGCCCACA